GGAAACTTCTAGAATACAAGCACTCTTATTTATGCGTGTTTTTTTTCTATTTTACTACTGTAGATCAATAAGATTTATATGTATTATATTGAAAATTATATTTGGAAGAACTTTAAAGCATATGTTAGAGAAAATTGTGTTTGCCTGTTAGCCTACTGTAAATTTTGACTGTAGCAGTTGTTGGTTCTATGGAGGATATTAACATACAAAATTTTGTGCCCATTAAAAATTCTGATAGGGCCAGGGAGATTGCTCAATAGATTAAAGTATTTTCTGAGAAACTTGATGGCTTTAATCCTCAGATCCCATGTGGTAGAAGGAGAGAACCTACTCCTATAAGTTGTCCTCTGACACACAGTAACTGTGGCATGCATGTGTGTACCTGTACACATGTACATTCATGCACTGAATAAATTTAAAAATGGAAATCTTTTTAAATTATCCTGATAGAGCAAGGTAGAGCCTAGATACTTATAACAAGACCAACAATGACTGGTGTAACGTGTACACCAGGCACCAGGCACCTGGGTCCAGCCGCTATCTCAGCCCTCAAGTAACACACAAGACACTATATTAATTATGAAGCTGTTGGCCATTTGCTATTGTTTCTCATTGGCTAGATCTGACTTAATTATTGACCCATCATTACTAATATATATCTTTATAAGGACTTATCTTTCCAAGATTGCACTCCTGGTGCATCCTTTCCTCCCAGGAGATCACATGGAGACCCTCTCCTCCTGAATATATTTCCCAGAGTCCTCCTCAACTCCTAGTCTCATCTATCTTGCTTCCCTATTGTCCAACAATGCTTTATTTACATATATACAGAAGGACTTCTCCCATCATCTTCTCTTTTCTGTCTAAATAAAAAGAAAGGTTTTAACTTTGACATAGTAAAATATATAACAAGGCAGTTATTAAGAGCTACAAATACAATATTTAGTTCATTAACATTTATCAAAATTTAAAGAAAATATCATCTATCCTATCTTTGTGAGTCTAAAGTCATATATGCAACTTATCTTTTATCATAAGTAAGGAAAACTGTAATTATAACTATCTGTCTTCAACTCCATCAAAGGCCACAGAAGGATAATATATAAACACTAGAATTGACAGATGAGACATCTCACTACCTAGACAGTCAGTCACCTGAAGTTCCTCTGTAATGTTGGGGCATCCATCTTCAGCCCACAGGCCACAGTGTGTCTGGCAGACTTCTTAACAAAGCAGGAAATTTTAAACTGTCTATTTGCATTGGCAGTTTGTCAGTCATTTTTCTGTGTCCTTTAGAACTATCCCATAAAGTTCAGCAGTCACTTTCCTGTGGATCCTGTATGTCCAGTCTATAGTAAAGGCAAAAGCAGTTTCTTGTCCAAATGGCTAATCTTGCCATATTGAAAGCAAACTTAATAATGAATTTCTTCGATGTCCATCTTCCTCTCTGACGTAGATTGGTGCTGCCAGGAGCAGATATTTCTCATTGTCAAGAAAAACCATGAACCATTAATGCCATTTTCTGGTCTTTGAAAGGTTTGAAGAATATCTATCCATCTCAAATATATCTCTGTATATCTAGAAAACCTAACTAACCTAACTATAAGTTTTGACTATTATAGGTGACTATATACAATCTGTATTTAATTATGCATTACATTTTAAAAGATCAATATAAACACAATACCTAAACAAGAGGAGAAATATACATATCCCAAAATTGACCTTAAATTTGTATCAATAAATGAAAATTCATTCCAATACAAAGTATTCATTTCTATATTATAGTCTATTTTTCCCTTTAGAAAGAGATTGACTGTAATCATTACCAATTATAAGCAACCCCATTTAATTGAAAACAAAAATTTATGAGCAATATTTGGGAATTTAGGTGTTGCTCATTCCAAACTGCTTCCTGTTGGTTGGGGACGCTGTCCATACCATGGGGATCATGACAAAACACAGAAACCTGGCCAAGTCCTTGTTTTTTTGTAGTCCATAGGGCTGTATCATCTCAGCTGTTTTAGATGTTGGATCCCCTGGGCCACTGCTTCCAGGGGTATTGGTTCATCAAACCATAGAAGCCTGAAAGGAATCCACAACCTTTCATTTCCTGTGGAAACACAAACAAAAACTTTTTTCCCAAGTAACCTGTCATTGTATTTAAATTTAGAAGTCAAAGCATTTTCAAAATAGATAAGTTGAATTAATTTGTAGCAGTTGTTGCTATTTCCTTAGCAGTTAAACGATTCAAAGATAATACAATAACATGCAGTATCCAGACTCTGTGTATTTTCCATCTTTACCTGGCTTATATTACTGTATATCTTTAACTTTTATTATTTATTTTTCTCTGAGATAGGGTTTCTTTGTGGAAATCTTCCTGCCTCTGGAGGGCTGGGATTAAAGGCGAGTACACCACCACTGCCCAGCCACTCTATTTTTTTAAACCACTTTATTTTGTTTCTTTTTCTCTCCCAAGCCTACACATAATTTTTAAACACACTGTGAACATTTTAGAGATTTTACTTCTGCTGAATCTGAATTTACTGTAAATCTTTATGTTTTTCTGGCCGTGTTTCTGTTATCTGCTAAACAACATTGCTAAAATCAAAACTACGGCTGTTTTAGCTGCTGTTTTTGCAAGATGACGGGCATAAGTTTACCATCAGCACTGGCCACGCAAGTCTCTGCTTGTTTCTAGCAAAACAGAACCCACCCAAGAAAATGCTGCTACCAAGAAGCCATGCTTGTCTCTGTTCTTTTGTTTCTAAAATCCCTTTTTAAGTTTTTGTTAGGTGGAAATTTGTGCCCCAAGTCCAGGCGCCATATGTAATGTGTACTCTTCCTGCCAGCCACCTGAGTCCGGCTGCTGTCTCAGCCACCAAATAACACATGAGATACTATATTAATTTTGAAACTGTTGGCCATTTGCTATTGTTTCTCATTGGCTAGATCTGACTTAATTATTGACCCACCATTACTAATATATATTTTTATAAGGACTTATCTTTCCAAGATTGCACTCCTGATGCATCCTTTCCTTCTGGGAGATCACATGGTGACCCTCTACTCTTGACTACATTTCCCAGAGTCCTCCTCAACTCCTAGTCTCATCTATCTTGCTTCCCGATTGACCAACAGTGCTTTATTTACATATACACAGAAGGACTTTCCCCATCAGACTGGTATCACACACGCAACTACATAAAGAGAGGTTCATTTTCTGGAAAGATACAAGGCTTTGACAATTCAATATGGCCTCACAGGAAGCAAAAGACAAGTAACTTAGCTGAGGTGACTACACAGTGTCTGACTTTCTAAGAAATGTGGAAACAGTTATTCCTTGTTTGACCCAGGGCTGACATAGCCTTCATCCCACAGGCCTGTTGCATTTTGAAGGCTAGGACCTCAGAAAGTCCTGAGGTTATCGAGCCTAGAATGAAGCTATAATGGTTTATACAGCCCCTGGGCCACCATAGACTACAGGTTCAGGGTAATTGTGTTCTAGCCTTCTTTGTCCTAGTCAGGTTTATCTGTCAACTTGACACAGCCTAGAGTCACCTGAAGAGGCCATCTAAAATTAAAGGATTCCCAGATAAGGTTTACCTGTATTCATGTATATTCAGGTAATGTCTTGATTGTTAATTGATGTAGCCCACTCTGGGTGACTCAGTTCCCTAGGCAGGTAATCCTAGGCTGTATAAAAAAGCTTGCCAAGCATAGGTCTTTAACTGAGTCAGCAAAGCAATGTTCCTCCATTGTTTCTGCTTCAAATTCTTTCCAGGACTTCCCTTGATGACAGATTGAAATTATAAGTTGAGATCAACCTTCTCCTCCCCTACATTGGTCATGGAATCTGTCACAGTAATGGAATTAAACTGGAATGCTGGGGAAAATGGAGGTGCTTCCAACTATCTTTAGGAAGTTGGCATGATTTAACAAGATAGTTGCCATGTAGAGAATGACAGTGACTACAACATGAGTTCCTGATTTCTTTTACTGTGGGAGGTCCCCCCTGTGTCAAGGTATTTTGGCATAAATAGTCAATAGAGACAGTTTGGGCATGCATCACACACAGTGAGGGTTGATGGGTAAGCCATCTTCATGGCATCTTTACTGAGTTTCTGACCATTCTATTTGGTTAAGGAGCCTGTGTTTGCCTACAGATGAGCCATCCTGCTTCACCTGCCCTCCACCATTACCCCTCCATCTCAGTGATGCCTGCAGCTCATTGGAGAGATCAAGCTCTTTTTACAGAGCTCTACAGAGTTTGCCAAGTCTCAAGGACTATTAAAGGTTTTATTCACTATATGCCTCTGAGGGTTTATTTCATCCCTGAGAAGCCCCCTTACTGGAAGGCAGAAACCAGAACACCTGCTGGGGTTTTGTGGCTCAGCAGCAAGATTGAAGGACTCCAGCATGACTTCTCTAGAAAAAATAGATGTCAGCTCCTGTGGGTGTTCAGGTCTTAGAGAGATGGCTAGGATTCTTCTTCTACTCTGAAAAATCTGGAAAATCAATCTGCGATCACTCAATGCTAGGGTGTGTAAGTTAAAGGACGGGGCACAGACTCAGGTCCTTGATTTTTAAACAATATTTGTATTCCTGGGGTGGAGCAGGGTGGGGCACATCTGAGTCAGAGAATAACCTTGTGGAGTCTGCTCTCTCCAGCCACCTTTGTGTAAGTTCTGGGAATAGAACTCAGGTCATCAGGCTTCATAAGTGTCTTTCACGCTGAGCCATCTTAGTAGTCTGGGTCCTTGGTTTTTAGCATTCGAGTGCTAGAAAACTATCACAATTTGCAGAGACCCCCATGGTTTTCACCTTCAGCATGTTTTCTTTCCTTTGGTCTTCCAGGAGTGTGAGATGGGGCTTGGGGTGGAGAGACTGAAAACAATCCATCAGCTAGGGCAAGTAGGAAAAGAACTTTCTAGAAATCTGGGCTGGTCGCATGAAGTAAGAATAACTGTTTTTCCCACTTCCTCTCTCCTGCCTAGATTCTTTTGTTGGAGGAGTGATTGGCCTCATCTTTGCCTATATTTGCTACAGACAGCATTATCCTCCTCTGGCCAACACAGCGTGCCACAAGCCCTATGTCAGTCTCCGAGTGCCCACTTCACTGAAGAAGGAGGAGAGGCCGACAGCCGACAGTGCACCCAGCTTGCCTCTGGAGGGGATCACTGAGGGCCCCGTATGACGGGTGTCTAGGGAAGATGGACGCTGAGCCGTGGCTCATTCTTCTACCCTGATGTCATAACACAGTGGAAAGGATTTTCTGTAATGTGATTTTCATCAGTTACTCTAAAGACCCCTCAGCTTCCGTTCTGTGGATGGTGTTCCTGCCACTCTCCATGTCTCCCTTCAACATTTTCAGTTTGTAAGGTTGGGACACCAGGAGCAGTCTCTGAGAGACCCACGTACAAGGAAGAAGGAGGCAAGGGCAGGGTGAGCATGTGTGCTCATCCAGTGATTCCTTTCCCTGAGGTGTTTGCTGTAGCACCCACCCTCCTGTGTCCATGGTGTAAAACATAATAAAGTCTCCACCCAGAAGATGTGGTGCTGGCCATCAGTGTGTCAACAGTCGTTGGGTGCCGTGATGGGTTTCACAGTGAGGCCCAAAGCAGCCTCTTCCCCTGGATCACCGTAAGTTTGGAAGCAAGGGGCTTACGATGTGTGGAGGTTGCCTCACAGGTCCTGGGTGCAAGATTCTTGCCACCTTGCAGTCTAGGTTGGGGAGCCAGTTCTGAATGTAATTCAACCCTTGCAAAGAATTCACAGACTACCTACCGAGTGAGCTGGCTCACTGGTGAGGACATTGGTCCTGTGACTTCCCTTGGGGGAAGAACTGACATTAAGGTGTCTTGCCCCTCTGGGAGCTGCATGTTGCACAGTTCTGTTCTGAGGGGTCTTTGGTGGCAGCATAGTCTGGTTGCAGGCCAGAAGGAAGCATCAGCATGGCAGGCCCTGGGAGAAGGAGCAGGAAAAGGACAGGGAGCTGCTGCCTCTGCGGGGCTCTTCACATTGTCAAATGCAGCCAGTTAACATTCATCTTTCTCAGGCTGAGTACAGTTCCCGGCCAGCTCATTCTTTTCAAAGCTGAGAGCATTCCCCTCACTCCCCTCTGGATTTCCAGATTGCTGGCACTGGATGCCATACAAGGTAATGCGTCTTTGGTGTCTGGAGAATGTCATGTCCTGGCAGGTAATGTAACAGCTTGCACTTTGAGGGACTCGTGGGACTGTCTAAATCATCAGCTTACGGGCTGTGGGTTGAGCAGTCCAGGTAGAGCCATCACCATAACATTTCTGTTACAAGCTTCCTGTGGAGCTCATACCACCTGTTCCCCGTCCCCCAGTGTGGTCCTCTCCAGATGCTGTCCTCACCAGCTGTGGTTCTTTCCAGCTGTGGTCCTCTCCAGGTGTGGTTTTGGCACAGAGCCACGTGATTGCCCAGTGGTGGGGTGAGGCAGGGGAAGACCTGAATGAACTTCCAACCTAGTTCAAAGCTGAGATTACAAAAAAATTACAGCAGCTACGTTCACAAGCAACCTTGAAAGTGAATGTGAGGGCCAGTGAGTAGTGTGTCTTGTGGTACTTGCAGTCAGTCCTGGCAATCTGAATTCGATCCCCAAGACCTATTTGGTTGAAGGAGAGAATCAGCTCCCACAAGTTGTCCTCTGTTCTCCACTCATGATGCATGGAATTCACACACACACACACATGTGCTCACATACACACATACTCATACACAAATGAATAATATGTTTTTAAAACAAAAATGAATATAAAACACTTAGCAATGACATTATGATAGCTCATAAACCCCAATTTTAAATCCAGAGATAAAATTCACATGTAACTTAAAAATTAGTATCTGGATTGAAATGAAAAATTCTAGCATTTGAAAACCAAAGGCAAGAATAAAAATGCGAGAAAAAGTGCTTCTGTTTGAAAACAGAGTCCTTGAGCTTATTTGATTCTAGCTTTAACCTGGCTCTGCAATAGCAGTCAGAAAGAAGAGAAAATTACACTTCAGTGGATGACTACTTAAAATTCTGGACCATGAGGTATCCATTTATATAAATACTTAACATTTAAAGATAAATGGCCAGAAGGGCTCTGTAAAGCAACAACAGAATATTGCTAATGCTGATAATTAAACTGAGGGCCTTAAAATAGGACATGTAAAATCTTTGATTAGAATGTAATTAAAATTGCAAAGGACGTAGTAGCATGAAGCATGCAGCCAGATCCTTAGGAGCGGTAATTAATGGCCTAAGTTGGCTCACAAAAGGCTGGCACTTTTTGTAGGTCCATACGTTGAATTTCACACTCTATTAATGTGAAGTATCTGTAGCATCATGATGTACACATAAGGTGGCTGTGGAGAGGCTGTGCCTTGGGCCCTAGTCTGTTCTGAATATGAGGGGTGACTAGACTAGCTCAGTCCTGGCTGGAGTGGGGAATCAGGGAGTGAGTCAGGGCTCACCCTGGAAGCTGTGAACCATCAGACTCCCTTCTCCACTAGGTAACCTGCGCAGAGCGCATACTAGAGGCTGCATTCCCAGGTAAGGCATCATGAGAGGCTGGCGAAGGAACACAGTGAATGAGGTGGCCCAGAGATGTCAGGAGCCACAGGGACTGGAGCCAGCAAGCACACTCCTGGTGAATCCGTGCTCTGGCACTATAGCCCCAGGGTGACTTTGCCAGACAAGAAGTCAGGCCTGGTGTGGCCAGAAAGAAGAGGCCGTCTAGATTTTAAACAACCCTGGAGGGATGGTGGGAGACGAAATTCAGCACAGCAAGTGCCTGCGGAGATGTGTCAGGGTACCAAGGATGGCTACAGATCAGAAATACATTTCTTTAGTGACTGACATTAAATAGGTCTGCAAGTGAAATTGTCCTTCCTCTAAGGCAGTGGTTCTCACCCTCCTGATGCTTCAATCCTTTAATACAATTTCATGTCGTGGTGACCCCAACCACAAAATTATTTCATTGCTGCTTCATAACTGTAATTTTGCTACTCTTGTGGATTGTAATGTAAATATCTGTGTTTTCTGATGGTCTTAGCTGACCCCTGTGAAAGGGTCCTTTGACCACAAAGAGTCTTGACCCATAGGTTGAGAACCCCTGTTCTTAGGGTCTAAACGGTATGGCAACTGCTTTAATTTAAAACTAGCACGACAGACAAAACATGAAATTCAAGCTGCTTTCCTCCCACTTCCAACCTCACCCGTTTGCTAGGTATTTGTTTCTGATACCCTGTACACTGCTGTGTGTCTGTGACGTCAGTGTCTATCTCTCTGTAAGTGACCATCCCTGTCAATGTCTATGCGGGTGTGCCTCTGTCTTCCTGTTTTGTCATGCTGCTGGGTGGCTGAGTTTGACAGGCTGCTCTGGAACTTCATCAGCCTCCCTGACACTGAGCACCCAGCTCTTTTGTGGATCAAAGAGAGTTGGGAGAGAGAAATGCCCCTTGAAGTACATGGATGCAGTCTCATTATCCCGGCATGGAAGGAAGGAACCTCTCAGTAAGAAAGACCTTTGAAACCCCTATAACTCTTTTTTTACACTCATGCCTTTTACTCCTTGGATAACTCAAAGATGGGAAAGTAATTCTGAACACTCATTAGTGGATGTGTGGAGAGCAGGAGAATTTGTCGGGATTTCGCTTGGGTTCCCTTAGCTGCTGAGGGAAGATCAAAGTTCTGTTAGGGAACGCTTTGCTGTCCCCACTCTCTAGGCCGCTCCCACCCCAGGTCCTGAGCTGCTCAGCTCTAGCTGGGCCAGGATGTGACCAGCAGGTGAGCTGAGGTCATGGAAAGGATGCTGCTGAATGTGTCAGCTCCCTTTCTTGTGGCTGTGATAAAATACCCCGACAAACACAACTTAAGAGAGAAAGGGAGTATTTGGCTCACAAGTCCAGATTCCATCATCGCATGGGGAACTCAAGGCAGCCGAGATGTGAAGCAGCTTAACACATTACAACCATAGTCAAGAGCAGAGAGCACTGATGAATGCATGTGCACCGGTGCTCAGCTCCCTTTACCCACCCTTACACCGTTTAGAATTCTCAGCTAGGTAATGGTGCTGCCCACAGTGGGTGTATCTTCCCACCTCAACCAACAAAATCAAGATAATTCTTTATACAAGTCAACACTGTCTGGACAATTTCTTATTGAGATCCTCTTCCTTGGGTGAGTCTAGATTACATCAAGTTGGCAATTGGAGTGTGAACCTAACTTGTGTGCCACAGTGGGAGGAGTGGAAATGTGTGCAAGCCTAGGCTGTGTGCCACAGCAGGAGGGAAGAGTGGAAATGACACTCAGCACAGACAGGTTTTAGGGCTCACCTTCAGACCTTCCAGTGCTTTTGAGTTAGCCCTGGGTAGTGGACCCATAATGGCTGTCACACTGGGCAAGTGTCATCTGCCTACCTCACTCACAGGGTGGCTGCAGGATTCATAGGGAACAGACAGTAAGTATGAAAGCTCTGGATCTGATCTCTTGTCGTAATGGGAAGACTTCATGTTCTCACGTTGTTTTTTTATTGCACTTTTATATTTGGGGTGTATGTGTGTGTGTGTGTGTGTGTGTGTGTGTGTGTGTGTGTGTGTGTGCTCCATCACGCATGTAAAAGTCAGAGTCTGTTCTTTCCTTCCATCATGTGGGTCCTAGGGCTCCATCTCAGGTCCTCTGGACTGATAAGGGTCTCCATATCTGCATTGGGAAGCAGCCTAGCCTTTGAATCCAGCTATGAGAAGAAAAAACCTCTTTTACAATTTCTCCACAATCATGGAGCGACTCTCCCTCCTCTTCAGGCAAGTATGTGGCCAGCTTTAGGGCCAGTAACATAACTGTCAGCTTCTTGGATGAGGGGGGAGTCTGGCATTTCCCTTAGTGGCAGTGGGAAGGATGGGACAGGTGGTCTTGTGACTGCCTTGGCACCATGTGGCACTGGCAATCCAGTAGGGAGGGAGCATCACAGGCAAGATTTCATCCTCCAGGGAGGCTGATGTGGCGCTTCCTTGGTGTCTTCAGGCCTCACAGTCTTTGCAGGACTGTGTGAGTCTAACACTGGGACTGTGCAAAGCCTATGGTGAGAAGAGTTCCCTGCCCAGGAGCTGGGGGACTTTCTATGTGCCTGACCATGTGTGGTGCATAGAGTGGGGTGGAGACCAGCTTCTCCATGGCCAGCCACCATTCGTCAATTTAGGAGGTCTTACCTTAGGACCATGCGTATAACCCTGTGCTCAGTCACTCCTTTTATGAGAGGTGATTGCCTGTTTGTGAGGAAGGACCTCAGCAGAACTGCAGGTTGGGGCCCAATCATTTCCCATAGCCACAAGGCTGTGGGAACATTACAATCATTTATATGTTCACTCACTATCCATTCAGAAGTTTAACATTCCCATTTTAAATTCCTAGTCTATTTCTCCCAAGATTAATCTACCACAGTATCCCAACAAGCTGTTCCCTTGGAGACCAGTGCCAACTGGGTATTCCTTCAATGCTTCAGATGAACTCTGCTGCGGGTGATAAAGCCTTTGCT